TCCCCTTCAGCTACTAAGGTTCTAGATTTTCTGGTTCACCCTCTACTGATTATTATGATTATAATAGTTTATTATAATAGTTTTATTAACTCTTAGGAACTGTTATATAGCTTACAAGCTATTTTGCAAGCGACCAGTTATGGTCATGGCAACTTATGTCACTTGAGTTTCAGTCAAGGACCGATTGTGATACATATGTGACATGGGTGTATAAAATGTATGTGTGAAGGATGATTGACACTCAATTGCCATAATTTTAGTAGGACAAATCAGTGGAGGGGTAACTAGAGTTTAGAATAATAAGACAAGGACTTTGTTAAAATCTATCAAGGCTAGATCTATGATTCATAGTTACCAGATGTGCAGTTGCAATCAGTCAAGGATTTATAGTTATAAGATATATAGTCGAACAAGTCAAGGTTAATAGTCACAATAGTTACACAAATAGAGTCTACTGCGCATAGCAGTAAACAAGGACACTGCAAATTATGTATATAAAAGACGGGGGATTCTAGGGGAATTTGGGACTCATTTAAGACGTTGCAGACGTGCCTTGCGGTGATTTCCCAGATTTCCCCTTTGCTGATTGCTGAGAGTCCCCCAATCGTTGGGCAACAGGTGATGCTACAATATCCGGTGATGTACTGATGCTTTATTCTTGCTATAATATGATCTAAATATGATTTGCAATTCTGACAATTCTTATGTTATTATACTAACAGAACTTATTCAATAAATCATGTTTTGCTTTAATATTTAATATAATGTTAAAAACACTCTGTTTTGAGGGAAAACACTTGGTATACCATTCCTTATTTTTCAAAATTTTTTGACAAATCGACATATACAGTTAGGTCCATATATATTTGGACACAGGCACAGTTTTAGTTTTTTTCAGGTATTTACCAAAGAATGTGTCACTTGGAAGCAACTGAAGAACTGCTATGACATTGTGATCAAAAAACTCCCGACAAGGGGGGAAAACTGGTCATCATGGATTGACATAAATACAGTAGTATTAGTAATCACCGGCTGGGACCCGGTGACTGACAGCAAAGGCCACGAATTGCGGCGCGGGTAGGGTGCACGCCCCCTACCCGGAAATGCAAAATCACGTGTATATATACATATATAGGGCTGCGGGAAAGTGGTTAATAAATTGTTGCAGCTCTTTGTGGTTGCTTTGCCGCCTTATGTTAGGGACACCCTTCACCTCTTGAAAATCATAAATGACCTTCCAGTACCAGACAATGTTATTTTGGTTACATTAGACATAGGAGTTTTCTCCTCTGTAATTTATTGCCCCTTTCTCACGTTTTTCATTTTTTTCAAATGTCAGAATTGGCAGAATTCAAATGGTCAGCATCTAAAGCAGTATCACGCTATGAGGTCTCTTATTGGGCACTCTGTGTGAGTGCTATCATTCGCAGTGCCCATCTGGAGGACTCAGGACCCTGGTGGTGATACCTGGTAGCGGTTTCAGATGACCTCACTTCTGTGGAACCGGGATGGTGATCTGGGTACAATCTGATCTGGCATCTGATGATCGTTTTATGGCCTGGTGACGCAGGATTGCATATTGGGTATATTAAACGCACATCTGGTGAGTGCGTTTTTCACCTATTTGTGTGATCACACCTACCATCACACCTTGGATCAGGACGTCCACTCACCTTGAATTAGGATCTCTCCATGATCCGCACTATTACTTTGAACTTTTGTATTTATTTATCACCCTTAGAGTGATATCATGCATGTTCATATATTATGCATATAAACTGTGCTCTAGTATTTAGCGCTGCACCATTTATTCAATATATATGTCAGAGTATGTTATACTGTATCTTGTATGCCATGTTGTGGCATTTAATATATTGGTGAAACAACACAAGATTACCTATACGCAATCGTTTAACAAGGTTTGCTTGTCATTTTGTACAGGAGAGACAACTTCACTTTCACGTATGGATTGTGTTGCCCCTTTGAGACATGGAAGTGACCATGAGAAATTGTTACTGAAACAGGAAGCTATGTGGATAAAGAAGTTAGAAACTCTGGAATCCCATGGTCTCTCTAGGGAATACGTTTTGACACCATTGCTGTGAATTATCTTCTTTCTTGTTTACTGGGGATCACAGGATTCAGTTATTCTGAGACAACTGGACTATGCAGCTGCCTTCAGGATGTAGACATTGGCAAGTAGAAAAAAAACATTGAAGCGACTTACTGAAAATTGTCCGTGTCCTGGATTCTGGTAGTTCCTGTTACTCTAAATGTTCTATTTGCTCTACTCTTTGAGAAGCACATTCTATCCCATCTACTTAATTTTAGTATTGTGGGATTGCTGCTAACTCCATTACATTCTTTATTTTTATACTTGTCGCAATAATATTTTGCCTCTCATCTTGAGTTGCAGAATTTGGATTTTTTGACAATGAACAAATATGATCCTTGAACTGGAAAATCCCATTCCTTTAATTCTCGAAAAACAATTCTAACAAGATAAATCCTTTCTTACACTTGAGCATGGATCCATGTAACAGCTTCCCAAGTCATACAAAAATTTCTGCATCAGTCTTTCAAAGGAGGAGTATGGCCAAGGCTTTTCTGGTCCTACTTCTCCTATGGATCACAATAGTGTAGGTCGTTCTGCACTCCTGTGGCCCATTTTCAGCCCACAGCAGGCTAAAGTCTATTGTCAACTGATGTCACTCAGCTGGTCCAGGTTCTGGATTGGTCCCAACTTTACAGCACGCCACTGAGAGCCTGAGACATCTGCTCCAACACCTCCCCAGCTCAGCGCTTCAGTTCCATCTGTCACTGAATGTCTGTCTCCTGCTAGACAGCATTGGCAGTCTCAATAGTATCCACTTTATTTCTATGCAAGACTAGAATCTTTCTTTAGGATCCCGGCATTTAAAATGTTCTCCCTCTTTATACAGTATAGTAAAATTGCCATTTTTTTCCTACTGTTTCTCCCCAGGAGATCAATATACACGGCACTCTGTTACCTGACTGCTGAATTTCCCTAGGTAGGAAATTATTAGTCCAGAGATCCCTATGGGACTCATTATTGGAAAAAAAGATCCCTATCTTATTCATACATCATAGGGCACAGGAAAAGTACTCAGGAACATTGGGTTATGTTGCTGCCTTCAGGAGACTGAACACTGGCAAAGCTGTAACGACAGTCCAATATAACCCCTCCCATTCCCAGCATGCCTCAATTTTTTTTGCTTTGTTTTTTTTTGGAGAAAGTGCAACTCTCTGTTCTGAGAGACAGAAGCCATTTCATTTTTCTCTTGAATTGTTATCAACATACTGTGTTTTCCTGCTAGCAAGATTTCAGATGCTGATCATCTGTCATTATGACAGTATATTATTCTACCTGTTGATTTTTTCATATACTTTGCATGAAAAACGGTATATCAAAAAGGGGAGATCATTCATCAAAAACTTCACTATCAAGAATTTCACCCTCCCATTAGCTAACAATTGTCCCTGTATGACCATAAAAAAACTTTTTTTTCCTTGTAGCCGATGTTCTCTTTACGCTGCTTTGCTTTTGTACTGCCAGTGTAATATTACTTCACCAAGCTTTTTCTCCATGATTTTCATATGTACAATACGTTGTGGCGTCCCTAGGGTTGGTGTCACCAGGTGCGGTAACACTTGGTACCACCCCTCCGACGATCCCCGAAGGATGGATCGGATCTGCGGATTGAGCATAATGGATTGGAGTCTGATCCATTATGCTCCCCGGGGATCGTCGGCTTGTAACCTATATGGGGTTAACTGATCTTTCAACACCAGTCCGGTCTGCACATGCTGGCGAAGTGATGTCAGATGGAGGAGGTTCCTGCATATAGGTTGCAAGCCGACGATCGCCACAAAATGGATCGGATCTGCGGATTGGGGAGCATAATGGATCAGACTCTTGCGGGGATCGTCGGCTTGCTTTAAAACTTTCCTTTTTGTGGAGCTTGTAGAGAGGGTCTGGTGTCACCCCGACCGATAGGTCTCACCCGGTGCGGCACGCATCCCCCGCACCCGCCTAGGGATGCCACTGCAATACGTCCACGGTGAGAGTGTGCACAGACATGCTGCAAGTCTCTGCCATGTCCCAAACCATCAGCTTTCTGTTCTATAGCACCTGTGACCTAACCTTTCGGCTCATATTAACATGAAATTACATTTTTATGGATGCAGTGCTTTTTCATTGCTGTATGGGTTCTATAAAGCAATAAACATGCCCTTTAAAGTCTATCTATATTCAAGCACACACAGCAAAATCACTTTCTGTTAATAATTGACATGTTTTATTATATTTTGCAATTGTTGCATTCTACTAAATACAATTATATAAATAAAATAATTTGGAAACATGAGATGCTTAGATTAGGGTCTGACTCCTCAGATCGCTAGCATCTACATTAGGAATATTTCACATACTGGAGTTGATTACTTAAAAGGATAGATTTTGTTCACTGAATTTTTAATTAGCCCCCATTCAAACCAATGTGATTTGATCGTTAAAAATCACATTATAAGTTGCACCTTATTTGTGCCTATGGAACCGTTCAAACTGGTGAAACTCCGACTTTGCAGTGCGGGTCTGGCACTGATTTTGAAAAAAAGGTTCCTGCACTATTTTTGGTGATTTCATGTGTGACTTGCATAGGCATCTGTGCAAGAAGTTGCACAGTTGTCAGGCAAGCTGCACATGAAATCGCACTGACCAGGGGCTTTGAAATTGTGCTACTTCAAGTGAAGTAGTGTGATTTCAAAGCCACATTCAATATGAACCAAGGTTTACTGTAAATTAGTGAATGAGGCAATTGAAAATTAACTTTGTAAAAAAAATAGCCAGTCAAAAAACAGAGTTTTTCCTTACATGAGATTGGAGATGGCACAGCTTCACCTCTTTCCCTGGGCTAGGTGAATTTTAACTTTGCAAAATAAATCAACACCAATGTATAATTGCTGTGCTAGTTGTAGTTCTAAATTTTCCATTCATTTTTCATCATTACAACAAAATAGGCATCACTGTCTATGGAAGCGCTGACACCACTGTAGTAATTCAAGAATTCTTCCACTGTCACCTGGAAAAAAAAAAGGAATAGTACACTTGTAAACAAGTTTGTAGATACTCGAAGAACTGTATTACTTTACTTTCTATTTGTTTTACCAAGTTAAAATCAGGAAGTCAAAAATGTATAATTTTAAACCCCTTTTAAAATAAAAAATGCATTAAAAGACTTTCATGGCTATCTTATAGCAGCATACACATGGGTAAGGCCATACATCTCATCTATAATTTTTCAACTGAATTCTGGAATTCCACAGACCTCAGGTTTGCAGTTTTAGTCCCACATTGTAATCACAAGAGGGGATTTATGGTCTGGTAATCTGTCCACTGACCCACCTGAGGGCCACTGTGAGAAAACGGGTGTGGCATCAGATGGCTGTGTTGTCTCCTGAGTCTCTACTGCTTCACCTTTACTAGGGCCCATAATGTAAGTTTTGTCAGTGCTGGGACAGAATCATGATTGTCCAACCTCACTACTGAGGAATTACAACATGCAGGTTCCAGGTGATGGGCTTAGAAATTATAAAACTATTGCACAGTTCTAACCAGTCATTGAGCCATTACAGTACAGAGGGACAAAACATTGGGGAAGGGGAGGTAGTCACATAGAACGGAGACTTACTTCTTACTGTGTACAGAATTAAAGTGACCTTGCCACTAAAGAGTCAATATCCTTCTTTGTCACGTTCAAATGTTGAGAGGTATGGGTAAGGCTCTGCCCCTATAGGAGGTCCTAATTCCCATAGGACCTGTACAGGACACCAGGGATGGGTCCATGGATGGGTCCTTAATGGTAGATATATGTCATCATTATTTGGGTTGTGGTCTCTTAGTAGGCAAGTGAAACAATTTTGATTGCTCAGGATTAACCCACCTGTGAGACAGGCCTGAAAGGAGCAGGAAGCAATCAAAAGGTGTCTGAGGTGTTTTTGTAGAGCTGGACACAGTGTACTCTGTGAACGTTTTGGGACCCTGAGAGCAGGTAGGAACCGTAAACCCTGTTGCGGGACAGGTTTGTACCGGTGGTGAGCTGAATTGTTGTTTTCTTCCAGAATTGTGTAAAGTGTTTTTGTTTGCTTTATGCTAAAGAAATGCTACCTTGTTTTGCTGTTTTAACAGTAAAGGGCAGCTTTTAAAAGATCATCTGGTTGGTGATCCCCAGGCTCCTCCATATCACAGACCCCATAACAATAAACTGAAGCCTCAACTAGTTGACCCTGTTCTCTTTTCATTTACATTACATAGGACCACTGAAGCCAGAAGAAGAAACCCTCATACCTGTGCCATAGGTAAATCCATGGCAGTTTACACCAGGTTGTCTCACCTGTGTGAAGTCCTCCATTGTTGTGAGGATCCCTATGTGCACCAAGAAACAGTACTCATCCCAGCTGTACTAAACATTGTGTTTGGCAGCTGGTCAATGGACATTTTGCATCAAGGATTTCCTGCAGAGGTATAAACGTAGATCAACTTTAACATCCTTGGTCATATGGTTTGTCAAGGAGCATCCCTGCCAGCCCTGGTTATTTTCTTTTTTCACAGTGTATGTAGGCAAGGTATGGCTCACAGGAGAAGGGGTTTTTTTGACAGGTAAAGAGACAAAGTTTCATGTTCGCATTTGTCTGCTTAGTCCTATCAGGTCAACTTCTCATTCAAGATGAAGATTAAGGGAGAGGAGTGTAACATCCAGATCTCCTGAGAGAAGGAAGCATTACAGATGGGGGAGACCTTTAAAGCCAGCATTCATCTATACAGGGATGGTGTAGAATTCCCTAGGAGGGTCAATCGCTAATTGGGAATAAACTAAGTAGAAGTAAGAGTAGAAGTAAAAGTAAGGCAACAGGAGGCAAATCAACAATGCTGCCACAAGATACACATCTTCAATACAGAAATGCTTCCAATTTGAATATCAGACAGTGAAATGGAGCAGGGAAGCTTAAACATACAGGCCTGTAAGGGAATTCTGTAGGAATTGGAAGATTGCACAGTCCACCCTCAGACCACCAAACAGGGCTCTTTTACTTGGCAGGGGGCTCACAAATCCTTTTTAGTGTGCAAAAGCCTAAGCAGGGCAAGCTGAGTCCTGGTATTGACCTTTCAGTTACATACTGTATGGGCAGAATCAATTACAGATACCTGTGTCATATGGTTCTTCAGACAAACGGCAGGTATTGGGGAAGTATGTCAAGATCCTACTCTCTCAGTACACAATTGTTCCACAGGACCAGAAACATTTGAATATGAATTGCCCATTATTTATGGTCCCTAGGCAGTCAGGGGGTTGGAGAAAGCCCTCATTCTATAAAGGCTTGAGCAGCATGTACATGCAGAATGTTTCCAGATGGGGCCCTTAAAGATGTATTCAGTATGTCCAGCCGGAAGACTTCATGCTCGCAATCAACTTAAAGGATACTTACTTGCATGTACCCATAGAGCCTTCATATCAAGAATTCTTTAGGTTCACAGTGGCCAACCAACACTTTCCATTCTATGTCTTGCCCTTTGGGACTTTCAACATCCCCATACACCTTTACAAATGTGCTAGTGGCAATGATTTGCTTTGTTGAGAATAAAAGGGGTAAGGTTTCACCATTACCTAGACAATGTGCCTGAGCTCTCTTAGTGATGGGAAATTCTGCTTTGGCAGTGATAGGAAAGAAGTGGTCATTACACCCAGGAGTCTTTCAGTAGATAGTTCAAAATTGGTTCAGTCTGGAGGTGGATCTGTTCACTTCTCTCCAAAATACCTAATTGAACATGTTCTATTTTAGATTTCCTTACCAGGTAGTGGAGAGTGATGCACTGACAGCGTAATGGAACTCCAGAACAGCTTAGGCTTTCACACCAGTGCTGCTGATTGTGAAATTCCTCTCCAGAGTGTGCCAGGAGAAATTGTTGATCTTGGCCATGATCTCATTCTTGTCAAAGAAACCTTGGTTTTCACTTCTGTTGCACCTCAATCAGCAACATCCATTGCCCATTGCCTATATACCTTTTTGTCTAGGTCCCCTGACACAAAATTGATGTGTGACCAGTTTACAGCATGTCTATGACTGGTGGTCTTAATATTGAGATGGAGAGATTGACAGAAGCTGAATGCTTGCACCAGGTCATAAATGTTGCTGGATGCCTTGAAACCCAGCACTAACAGGGTCAATGAAAACATGTTTGTAGCTGGAGTAGGGTTTGATCCAGTAAATCCCAGGTCCACAATGCCCTGGATATCTTGTAGCTTGGCTTGGAAAAAGGCCTTAGTCTCCCATCTTTAAAGATCGAATTATTGTCATACCTCAACCTCTCATTTGAGGTTCGGTGGAACAATTCCTGGGAGGTGTGAGGTAACTGAGACCACCAACACACCCATTGTATCCCTAGTGGGATCTATCTCTGATTTTTGTGTTTTTGCTGATCCCCCTTTCATGATCAAAGTATTACTTTGTAAAACATGACTCCTAAGGCAACCTTTTTGGATGCAGTTACTTTTGAGAGAAGTATCTCAGCCTTTCAGGACAGAGTTTTTCTCAAACAATATCAAGTTTTTTTCCAAAAGTCTCTTCATATTTTCAGTTTAACCAAGAGCTGGGATTGCCTACATTCAAAGACACAAAGACACAATGGACTTACTGGCTGGATGTGGGAGAAATTTTACAGGCTTGCATACAAGCAACTTCCCAATTTTGACTCTAAAATCAGTTTTCCGTCATCCCATATAGAAAAATCAGAGGGAAAAAGGCCTCTATTCATTTTATCGCTTCCTGGATAATCAAAACTATTGATGATTTTTTCCATGGCAGCAGACTTCCAGCTCCAGAAAGTGTAGTGAGTATTTACAAGAACAGGGTCATCTGGATGGGGTTTCAATTTATTTGTATTGGGTCCTATGGGAGTTTGACGGCAGAGCCTGTTGTTGAGCCTGCCTCTCTGACTAGGGTAGAATTTGGCAAGAGAGTGCTAGCAACTACAAAGCATGTGAAGTAAATATTTATTTCTGGAAAACCACCCAGTTTTGTTTGGCTAGTTATTTCCTATATGTATTTTCCATACTTATCTCCATGGCAGTATAGTTCCTGCCCTAGAAAGTGTAGTGACTAGTTACAAATTTTGGTCAGCTGGATGGAGATTTATTGATATTGGGTCCTATGGAAGTTCGGGGACGAAGCCTTATCCATGTAAATGCCATGGGGATGCAGTAAGTCAGGAAAAGAAAATGACAGTAAATATTTAATAACAATTTTTCATTTTCTGGGGCCAACATGGTAGTTTACATGTGGTAGTAATTCTGCCTTTTATCTATCGACAGGACTAGTAAGAACTATAAATAAATCCTTTAAAAAAAACTCATTTCAGTATGATTAAGCATCAACCCTCCCTGGTGCTTACCTATTTACCACATATATTCTTCTATGTTTGCCCCAGGAAAACAAAACAATGATTTAATAGCTACCATATTTTTCTTTCCTGATGTCTTAATATGGCAGCATAATTATTCCATTTGCTAAGCTTATCTGCTAGTAATGATAATGAGACCGCTTGTCTTAAAGGAGACCTATAACACTGTTCAACAGGTAAAAAGTTTTGGGCATAAAATTAGCTAATCTTACATAATTTTGGGGTGCTGAAAACGAAAATGACCCTACAAAATGTTGATTGGCTCTAGTTTCCATGATATATTCACCCATCTAATGACGTAAGCCATTCAAAATTATGATGCAACTTCAGCTGCATATTGCGCAATTGATACTGGTGACCAATAGAAAATTGCATGTATACTGAGATGATGCAATATTAGCCTTTAATTGCATCACTTCACTGCATAAAAGCTGCAGTATCTGTAGCTGATTGTAGTTCGACAGCGTCTTTACATTTCGTTTTATGCTTATATAGGCTACTCAGTAATGCCTCGAACTTGTGTGAATAAAGCAGATAATTTCTGCTATATCTGAGGTGAAATAACTTTTATCTCACAAAAAAGGATAACAGGAATGATTAAGAAAGCCTACAACTTGTATTTTGGCTGCAAGATAGGAGACCAGGACAAGAGCTGGGCACCACATATATGCTGCAATTCTTGTGGGACGGCACTGGAGCAATGGTTGAATGGAAAAAAGGCATCTATGCCTTTCGCTGTGCCAATGATTTGGAGAGAGCCAACAGATCATGTTAGTAATTGTTACTTTTGTATGGTGCCTCCAATTGTAAAAGGGCTAAATAAGAAGAAAAAGTTATCTGTGCACTATCCAAATATTCCATCGGCAATACGTCCAGTTCCTCATGGAGAGGGGCTACCAATTCCTAAAGCACCAGAATCCTTCGTGGTTGAGTCAAGTGAGGAAGAACCTGAAGCGTGTAGTCACGTGCAGTTGTAAGAGATAGCCCTTTCCTCGAATACAAGAGAAAAGCCAAGAGAAGCAAAACCGACACAAACTGAAGACAAAATTAGTGAGAATCCTAAGTATTAAAATTATTCAACTTAGCTTATGGCTATAATTTTTCTTGGTAATCCTATGCAATATATTATGCCATTTAGGCTTTGTTATGTAGTCAATATCACTTGCTTTATATTTGTGGAAAGACATCTATCTATAAAATTATTGTGCATTATGTAGTCATTACACATATAGTAGAAAACTTTCCGTTTACAGAAAAACTAGAGCCAATTGACAAATTTCATTGTTATATTTGAACTCAGAATGTGAAATTCATTAAGAAATGGATCCTTTTGTTTCCAAAACTGGCAAAAAATAAAAATTTGTTGAACAGTGAAAGCTTTTTTGGCTGTACTTCTATGGATCACACTCCTTCGTTCTGCACTCTTTTGGCCAGTTTTCAGCCGACAGCGGGCTAAAGCCCACTGTTGGCTGACGTCACAAAGTCAGTCCAGGCTTTGAAAAGATATTGTCGGGATCCACCTGGATGACAGGACTGGCAGCTGGCTCAGCCCTCTCAGTGAGCCACTGACAGCCTGAACCAGCTGCTCCTGTCTCCTCCACAAACTGCTGCTCCAGTAAACCCCAGAGGGACAGGGCAGAGAGCCAGTGATTCACAGTCTGTCACATGTTAGACTGCGGTTTCATTTGTGTTCTTACCTTTCTTGCTGCAGTCCTGTTTCTGATCCCTTCTCATGTTTGTCTGTGCTCTTCTATGGGCGTCATCTGCTGTCCTCTGGGTTTTATTTCCTTCCCTTCCATCACTTCCTGTCCCGCCTCCTTGTCTGCCTGTCTATATAAGATGTGCTCAGACTAAGCCTCTTTGCCTGAGCAACTTCTTAGTTGTTGGAGCTCCCTTGTGGGTCTGCTGTGAATCCTATAGTGTCTATCTGTGTATTGACCCTGGCTTCATTCCTGACCTTGCTTGTTTTCCACCTGTCCTGACCTCAGCTTGCCTATTGGATTCCCTGTGTCTTCTCCCGTTGTACCCTGCTCCTGCTAGCGGTCTCCTCCACCTCAGCTGGGTGTACCTGGGGGCCACGACCTTGTCCCAGCCTGCTGCAAGTCCATCCCCACCAACAGGGGCCCTGGTGAACAAGCAGGCTGGTGCTTAGACTCCGTGCCCTGGGAACCCCAAGTTGTGGATCAATAGAGCTCACTACCACAGGCGCTGACAGTTTGCTCAGGCCATGGTTTTCTGTTGTATGTTCTCCTATTCTTACTCCTTCTGAGGCAAATGTTTCCAAGAACTTACATCTGCAGCTTCCAAGTACAAATTAGCTGCAGATTGTCATCACCCGGTGAGTCCCAAATTTTACCCGAGTGACAAGGTTTGGCTCTCTACCAAGAGTATCCGTCTGCAAGTACCCTCTATGAAATTTGCTCCTCAATTCATTGGTCCTTTTACCATCCTTTGCCAGGTCAATCTGTTGCTTTTAAACTTCGCCTCCCTTCACATCTGAGAATCCCTAATGTTTTCCATGTTTCTCTTCTGAGACCGTATATCATCAACAGATTTTCCCAGCCTCATCATCATCATTCTTCCCCAATAGCGAGTACTTCTGATCAGTATGAAATCAAGCAAATCTTGGATTCTAAATTCATCAGAGGGAAGCTCTTGTATCTAATTGACTGGAAGGGATATGGTCCTGAGAAGAGGTGTTAGATTCCTTCTGATGTTTCTGCACCCCGTCTGGTGGAATTTTTTTCATCAGAAGTTTCCCCTTAAGCCTGGCCCTAAAAGAGTGGGGAGACCTCGTAAGAGGGGGGGGGGGGTACTGTCACATGTTAGACTGCAGTTTCATTTTGTTCTTACCTTTCTTGCTGCAGTCCTGTTTCTGATCCGTTCTCATGTTTGTCTATGCTCTTCTATGGGCGTTGTCTGCTGTCCTCTGGGTTTTATTTCTTTCTCTTCCATCACTTCCTGTCCCGCCTCCTTGTCTGCCTGTCTATATAAGATGTGCTCAGACTAGGCCACTTTGCCTGAGCAACTTCTTAGTTGTTGGAGCTCCCTTGAGTTTCTGCTGTGAATCCTATATTGTCCATCTGTGTACCGACCCCGGCTTCGTTCCTGACCTTGCTTGTTTTCCACCTGTCCTGACCTTGGCTTGCCTATTGGATTCCCTGTGTCTTCTCCCGTTGTACCCTGCTCCTGCTAGCGGTCTCCTCCACCTCAGCTGGGTGTACCTAGGGGCCGCGACCTGGTCCCAGCCTGCTTTAAGTCCATCCCCATCATCAGGGGCCCTGGTGAACAAGCAGGCTGGTGCTTAGACTCCGCGCCCTGGGGAACCCCAAGTTGTGGATCAATAGAGCTCACTACCACAGGTGCTGACACAGTCTCTAGCTTTTTCTGCTCACAGAAGACCGAGAACTGAGTGATCAGTGGTCTTTGATCTCTCAGTTCTCAGTCTTAGACGCGGCGGGGTAACATGTAACACTGGACTGATACTGCATCCACCTAGGTGAGTGTGTGTGTGTGTATATATATATATATATATATATATATATATATATATATATATATATATATATATATACACACACACGCACATTTTTATATATATATATATTTTTTAAAATTAAACCCCTACTTCTCATTTAAGGTTTTATTTATAGCTATCACTGGTTGCTGTGTGTAGGTAGACGGTGGAGCTACTACCACATGTATGCTGTTGTATTTGAAAAAAAATGAAGTCATCCCTCATTGAGTCTCTAGACTTTGATTAAACAAGATGTATGACTTGACTGCTCATTGTCACTGGGACAAGTAGTGAGATCTCCAATGGGGAAAAACACAATGGGGATAAAGCTAACAGGTGCTAGTCTTTCTCCTTTTTTGTTTTTTAATTTCTGCTGTAGGTGTGTTTTGGAGAGATTTCCCCTTAAAGTTTCAGGGTCAGTGCAGTCACCCGGACAGGAAATGAACGTAAACCATCACAATGGAACACAGTTAGACAGCAGTAAAAGCTTGGTAGTGGTATTTTACTCCTTTCTACCATACCTGAAACTGAAAAAAAAGTTTGGCCTTGAGGTTTACTTTAAAAGAAAACCACCCAGCACTCCACCCACTCAAAGTCTTAGTCTCCCCTGTTTATGTGTAAAACAATCAATTCAATCCTATCAAGAGGCCATCTATTTTAGGGCACATAATATACGGCCTCTGTAGAAATGAAAAGGATTTTTCCCCGCACAGAAGAAGCAAGTGACTGGCTAAAACTGTATGCAGATTGCAAGTGTGCTCAGATTGCAAGTTCCATAGTATGTTGTATTAGAGTTTACTAGTTTTGGTACAGAAACAATTGAGTACTGTCTGTGATACTTTTTTATTTGTACTAACATACAATTTTGGGGTATGTCCCCTTCTTCAAAGTCCAAGCAGTACTGTACAAATTACAAAGTTTCAGCAGAATGCTAGTTTTGGGCAAACTCTGGGTGGGTCAAGTCTCATCTCTCTCTAGGACTCTAGAAGACCAAGCAACTGATTTCCTACACGGCCTCTCACTATCAAAGATTAGCAATCTTTCTGCTGCATACTTTATAAATGTGAGTAGTCAGTAAAGTCTGATAGCAGTACAAATCTGCTAGTAGGCAGATCTAAGACCTCATTGCAGAGATAGCACTGTCTGGATTCCTGCAAAATATAGGTAAACACCCAAAAGTGAGAAATCTCAAACAAATGCAAAACCAGATACTTGGGATGCCAGAACAAAGGCACACCAACTCTTGGTATTCAAACTGTTGCAAAACAAGTAGTTACCTCTAAGCACAAGTTTATACTTTAATATTTGCATCATAGTATGAAACTTACTTGGCCATCCTTGTTGTTGGGTGAATCAAAGTTGTCCAGGAAATGTTGGAACACTTGCCTTTCATTCCATTCTCCGTTCTGATATTTCTGATGACATTTAGGATTGTAAACCCCTTTAAGGTCTTCAACAGTTATAACACCATCACCTGTTTTGTCCATTTTATGAAAGGCTTCTAGTATAACTTGTTTACGAGCATTGGACATTGGAGGCTGTGGAAATGAACAGACACATTGAGACTGGTTTACTAGAGGAGTTGAGAATCTTCACACAATATAACTGGGATAGGGTAAGAGGGCATAGGATGACCAAGGGAACTGACAACTGAGGACAAACTTCCTAGAACTATTCACAAGCTTCTCTTCTTCAACACAGTCTCTGTTGGAGAGCTAGCCAGCATCTCCTTCTTGTACCACCCCAGACCCTAGATGAATTTCTATTCACCCAGCAATCTGGAGACTTTTTCTGAGCAGGCGATCTGACTCCTATCAGAATGAGTGAATAGTCACTAGTAGGGGGCTAATTTGGTTTCCCACCAGAGTGCTCCTTCCTCTATCCGCAAAGGGGGTGCAGGTGTACTCACTCAGATTCTCTCCTGCACCAATTTCAGGTTGGCTGCTGCTACCAGGCATCAGCTGAGCTGCTCCTTCCCTACCCGTGCTCGCTCAAGGGGCAAGTGAGTCCCGAGTATTTTGCCTTTCCTGATCCAGGCTCACAGGCAGGCCCCATCCCAATAGGCCTCCTGGCAGCCTTCTTCCTCCTCCAGCCTCACATCTTCCTCCTACTTTCTACACCTCTCCCACCACCACACTCCTCCTAGGGAGCAGGCTCCTACACCTTTAAGGGAGTCCTGGCCCCTTGTCAAGCCTTCTGTTGAGGAGAGGTCCCTTAAGGGTGCAGCCAGCCACACCTCAGATCCACACACTGCCTTCAAGGCCCTCCTCCAAAAGCCTCTGTCAGGAAATAAATATCCAGGTATAGAGACGTCCTGGATTGAGGAACTCGTGCAAGACCCCAGGTGCGCATGCACGAACGAACTTTCGTGCACGAAGCGAACTTTCGTGTACAAATGAATACACATGCATGAACGAACACACTTCCATATGTGCATTGGCCTCAGGAGGGCTACTTAAGCTGCACAATGGCATGGAGTCCTTGCCGCTTGATCTACTATGTTCCCTGAAGCATCTGATACCTATTCCTGTGTTGACTTCCTGATACCGACTTGATCTACCTCTGACCTGCCTGAATGCTGCCTATCCTGACCCCTCGCTTGTCTCTGGATTTCATCTTTGCTCCCTCTGTTTATCCGCCCATCTGCCTACTATTACCAACCCTGGCCTAACCTTGACTATTCATCTGCCTGCTGTATTGTACTTTGATGTGCCTGTCTGTTGCCGACCTAGACTGCCTGACCCTGCTCTTCTGCATCAGAACCTGCTGTCTTGTGCCTGCCTTCTGTTCTAGTCTTCCACCAGCACAGCCTGCTCTACAGCTACGCACCGCCTGCTCATCAGCGAGCAAAGCCTGTTCTTCTGCAAAGCACAGCCTGCTCTTCAGCAAAGCCCAGCCTGCTCTACAGCAACGCACATGCTGCTCTCCTGCATCCTGCAATGGAAGACCAGTCAGGCACTCATGCCCACTCTGAGCTGAGGTGCTCCTTTCACTTTACCAGGGCTCCTGAGTCGGACCTGTAGGAGAAGCCTACCTCCACACGTCAGGCTCCACCACCAGGTATGTTACAGCCTCAGAGCAGGGGGAAAATTCCAGAGGAACTGTCCTGCAGAGTCTCTCAGCCCTGGCCGCACCTGAGCTGAGAACAAGCTCCTAACTAACCACTGGGATCTAGCTCCCCCTAGCTGGACTAGGAGGGTACTACACAAACTATGGTTCTTGCATTTTAAGATATGTGGCCAATAGACCTGTATTTGCAGCCCCAGGCATTCACATCACAAAGTACACTGTACATGGCTATAGACATGTAAATGCTAATACTTGGGTTCACACTTGCGCTTATAGGCAAATTTTTCCTCATGCAAATTTTTGAGTTCAGGAAAGCACATCTATACTTGAGGACTCTCAAACAGAATAGTTTTGTGTGTATCATTCCTATAAAATCACCAAATGAGTTAAATAAGCCAAGGTGAATTTATTCAGAATGGTAGCAAGAATCTTGCTATTTTAACCAGGCTGTCTAAGCAGTAATAAACTTTTAAAATCTTCATTTCATACTTTTTTTTTTGTATTTCAATGGTTTTTATTAATTTATAACAGTTTACACAGGAGCAACAAATCACGCCCACGCAGGGGCTATCAATTGCACATAAAAAATTAGAAATTTTGAAAAATCAGTGCTCTAACACCAACAGAGCAAAAGGTATGCCCACGCAGGGGCTATCAATGGTACTTAAATAACAAAAAATTAGTATAACACCGATAGTAACTCAAACTAAAGGCAGCTATCCACTGCCACACCAGAAAAAAGAAAAAAAAAAGAAAAGGAAGGAGGAGTACAAAATAAAAAGATAACAAAACCAAGAGCAGGGATCCAAGAACGCCAATGCCGAACAACATCACATCCCCAGACTAGCCGGGGGGGGGGGGGGGGGGGGGGGGAGCGTGGGAAAGGCATATTGCAACCATGGCTCCCATATTTTCAAGAATTTACATTGGGAGTCGTTGCAGATACTCGACATCTGTTCATTGAGCATCATAGTGGTCATATGATCCCGCACCCCCTGAAGAGGGACAAACGGGCTCTTCCAGGCCTGAGCAATTGTTCTAGTGGCTGACAAATCAAAGAGGAAGCCAACATCTGCTGATGAATCAAGAGGCCCGGTATGGGACAATGAAGCAAAGCATACCGAGCATCCTGTCGTATAGAGAGATGGAACAAGGTGAAAAGGAGGCCAAACACACGAGACAAAAAACTAAGCAGTATTGGGCATGACCACCAGATATGCAATACATCACCACGATGGCCACAGCCCCGAAAGCATCGATCACTGCAAGCAGGGTTTGCCTGGGCCAAAAGAGCCAGAACCCAATACCAATGAAACAATACTTGGTATGCCGCCTCCAGCGTGGTCGTATTAAATGAACATTTGTCTATAAACGACCAGGCCCTATTCCTGTCCTCCAGATCCACGACTGCCCCCAGGTCGCGCTCCCACTGAACAACATATGAAAGAGAAGTATGCGTCGTGCGCCTGTTCAAAGCTACATAAAGAAGGGAAATAAGGCCTGGGGCGCCCGGACGCTGTTGGCAAAGCAGTTCAAAGGCAGATTTCTGGTACGGGAAAGCAGAAGTGCCCTGCAATGAGATCAGCCAATGCCGCAATTGAAGGGAACAAAAAAATTCCGCCGGAGGGACATCCCGTGACTCCCAAAGAAAATTCCAGGTAGGGAAGAACCGGGAAGTCAAAAAGTGTCGCACCTGCGAAAAAACCATTTGCCACCCACCAAGAAAACACCCTTGGTTGATCTAAACCCGGTGGGAAGAGAGGGTTGTTAGTAATTGGGAGCAAAGGCAAGAAAGGTGACATCAGGCCACTGGAGTAACGTACCGAGTCCCATACGTGTAAGCCATGGAGCAAAATTGGACTCAGTGCCGTAGGGCGCAGGGCAGGGGGAAGCCATAGAAGCGTTGATATTGCAATAGGGGCACAATTAGGTAGTTCCAGCAGGACCCAGAGAGGAATGTCTGAGGAAGCATGCAACATAGACAGCGGGACAATCTGGCTCGCCTGATCATACTTAGTTACATTAGGAACCCCAAGACCACCCTGGAGTCTATGAACAAAAAGCGTAGTTCTGGAGACTCTGGGGCATTTATCGGCCCAGATAAAACACATAATCTTCGCCTGAATCAACCGAAGAAAATGAGGAGCAACCCGCACTGGGAAGGTGCGAAAATAGTATAACAATTTCAGTAAGATGGTCATTTTCACTGAATTAACCCGTCCTATCCAAGACAGGTGTGGAAATTGCCAAGAATGCATAAGAGAAGACACAGAGAGAGAGCTAACAGGGTTGCAAATTTCTTATAATAGAGACCGAAAAAGCCATCGGGACCTGGGGTCGCAGTGGACCGTAGAGATTTGATAGCTTGGAGCACTTCTGATAAGGAGACATCGGCGTTGAGGGTCATCTGCGCTGCCTCGGATAATTCAGGAAGTTGGAGGTCTTGGAAGAATGCTTCTGCCTGAGCCACAGGGAAGGTATCTGGTTTAGCGTAAAGGCGTGAAAGGAAGTCTGCAAAACAGGAGACAATTTGCTGGGGATTAGAAGTACAGCCACCCACGGGAAGTCGCCATCAGATCGGTTTATGGGGTTTCCCCACAGAATTGAGTTTCCTGGCCAGCACCGGACCCGGCTTATTAACACAGGAATAAAAATTTGTGTTTGGTCCAACACAGGGCCCGTTCTGCCTCCGAAGAGGCGAGTAGGTCCAACATTTATGGGGCGAGGATGGGAATGACTTCCAACGAGCATCCGCAGAGGCCAGCAGAGAATGAAGCGCCAAAAGTCTGCGCCCCCGCTTCCGAACCACCGCCAGCTGTATAACATGACCCCGCACCGTGGTTTTATGTGCCTCCCACAAGGGCACTGCCGAAGAGACAGATCCTGAGTTTTCCGTGAAGTATATGCATAAGAAAGATTCTATTTGTTGGCAGGTAACCTGAGTGGTCAATAAAGAATCATGAATGCACCAGTGAAAGGGGTGCCATACTGACTCAGAGAGAGCCAGGAGGAGTACCAGGGGATCAAGGTCCGACCAGAGCGAGGAGGGAATAGCTATCCGCCTGACCAAGGGAAGCTGCTGAACATGCATGAATATCTACAAAATCTGTCATAAGGGTTGGAATAGAATGTAAAGTTGCGCACAGTTGGGTGAAGTTCCCTCCAGAGTCCGCCAGCCCCGCCGTCCTCAAAAGAGAGCGCATACGTTCCTCTAGCACTAAGTCGTGAGAAGGGGCCACCCCCCGGGCATAGCGCCTATCCAATGTGGAATCCAAGGTAACATTTGAATCTCCCAAAAGAAGAAGACCCTTGGAGTGTCGGGAAACAATGATGCAAAGATGAGAAAAGAATTTATGCTGAAACCGACTGGGTGCATAGTAAGAGGCAAAAGTAACCTCCTGATCCCAGAGGATGTCCTGCAGATGCAAATACCTACCCGTGGGCTCAGCTATATTCTGAGCACAGACAA